ATTAAAGAAAAGTGTAGCACGCTTCTTGGCGCAGGAATGGCCACGGAGATTTTTTCGCTGAACATCTCGGGCTGTAAGAAATTTTCCAACACATTTGGCAAACGAATGGGGCTGAGGCGTAACTGGGGAATCGGTTTGTTTTGGACAACTCCGTTGGCCCTTTTGCCAGAGTCATTTTCATTTTCGTTTTCATTTTGCCCTCGCTGCTTGCTGTTGTCCTTGCGCAAATAATTTCACTGATAAAGGATTTTCAACGCATCTTATGCTCGCTGTTTGCACTTTCGCAATATGTTTGCCGGCAGTTTGTTTTTGTTCACTGCCCAAGAAATATTATATATATTATATGCTTTGCCTGTCGGTGTATATGTATATAAAAATCCTTCTACAGTTGCATTCAAATTAATAGCTCTTGGAATTCTTTATTGCCAGTCCTAAACAAAATGTTATATTTCTGGAATTTAATTTTATAATTTTCTTATTGCGCTTTGCCAGATTGCTGTTAAATTTGCTTAGGGACTTTACTTGAAATGAAAATTAAATGGGCTTTAAAAATATATTCTACTAAAAATAAACTGGGAGTAGTAAAGTTGTTTATTGTTTCCAATTTTAGGTCAACTTAAGCAACTTAATTAACAACTATTCGAGTTTAGTTTTAAAGTTACTCAATTAGTCTTAACTTTATCAATATTTAAGTGATTAAAGACACTTTAATATACTGCTATTCTTTTGATACCCATTGTTTTTGACTGAGAAAGAGTTGCCGGAAGAGACTGTAAGTAGTTTACGCGCATTTAAGAAGACGGTGCAGTAGCAACATCAGCAGCAGGAGTCCAAGTAGGAAGCTGCCAAGACAAACGAGCCAAGGGATGGGTGCAAGGATTCGAAGCCAGGACAAGGAAATGAATGTTTCGCAGGCCGGCGAAACGTGCAACAGCAACAGCAACAACAACAGGGACAGCAGTAAATGTTGATGCTGCCACTACCTTAGTCTGCACTTTGTTGTCCTGTTTTTTTGTTGCAGCTGCAATTGTTGCTGTTGCTGCTGCTGTTCAATGGGCATTGTTTGCTCGTTTCACAGCCAAAATGAAACTCAAGTCAACTCGTGCATTTCTAATGCGAATTTATATGTTTTAACCCGGCGCTGCCATCAAAATAGCAACTGCTTTCTGACATGTCCGGCTAGTAAAATTTGTTCCCTTATTGAAATGAGCCAAAATGTACACAATGTTTGCTGTGGACCCAATAATGTTGCAGCTGTAAAGGGGTGTGGGTGCACTGAGAAAAGTTACTAAGCTAAATATAATAAGAAATATAAATATTTCCAAAGCCTTTGAAAATGCACAACCATTATTGTCATATCTCAACTATTATAAATTGCAATAGTTATTTAGATAAATGGCTATCAACCATTGTAATAAAAGAACCAAAATTTCTTTCAATAAATTTTGAAACATATTAACCGCAGAACCGCAAAGTTTTTGTGACATTCTTTCGCTCTGTGTGGAGATTGGGGAACGGAATCGCAATTCCAATCGGAATCCCTGTACGTTTACGTATCTCAATCCCTGCTCAGCCACTATAATTTCTTTCTTGCTGCTTGTCCCTCCTTTTCGGACCCTCTGAGCTTCCTCGGCAGATTGCCAGACTCCCTCGGAGTCTCGAGTCCCGAGTCAGTTTGTCAGCTTGTCAGCACATCGGAGGAGTGCCTGGAAAATGGGAAAAGCGACGGCGGCGGTGGCGGGGAAAAGCTGAGCTCACATTGCCTCGGCCATGGCTTGCTTTTGTTACTCATTTATTTTGATTTGTTTACCATTGCGATTTATATTTCTTCGTCTCGCTCAGCAGAATGGCTCAAAGGAAGGGGAATGCCGGCTGCCAGCGTGCAGAGCAATAAAATTAAGCTCGGATTTATTGACCCATTTCAGTTTGACTTGCTGCCATTTCCCTTAACCCCTCTCTTTCGGCACTCTTTGTTATGCATGGCAACTAAATTAAAATGTTTTTACTAATCCCGACAAGTTACTCTTTTAATTACTTTTTCTCCTCAACTGAACAAAGCCGCATGGGGCCAAAAGATTCACCTCCTCCGACTTCGATTTCTCCAATTTGGATTCTCCCATTTTCACTTTGTTTACATTTTCAGAGCTTCGATTTTTATTTAATTTGCCAACTAACCGAAAAAGCCAGTAACCTATTCTGCACAAAACTGATCCAATTGAAGAGTGGATTTAAAATTGAACAATATTTTCACCCACTTGACTTGGCTAATTGAATCCTGTAACGAAATTCAGCTCTGTTGAATATATTTACTTTGCTTAGCTATTTTTATTTATTTATTTTTTTTTGTTTTTCTCTAAGATGTACCTAGACCAAAGGCAATTAAATAAACGAAGGCTTTTGTATGCGCTTGGCTTGTCAAATTTGGGATTTATTTGTTGCTCCTTTGTGGCCCTTTGTCGAGAGTGTATTACAGGCAGTCGAGCATCGCATCCAACTACAAAAGGCGTTAATTAAATATTTTCGCTCAAAGACAAGGCGGCAACCAATTACAATAGTCGACAACTGCGCGACTTCCCAACGACAATGGCAGTGTAATTCGGAACAAAAATCTCATTAAGTGGCAGCGAAAAAAGAGCAGTAGCCGAGTCACAGATAGAAAAATATGTTTCATTAAAATAACAATAGTAGGTTACCGACAGAATAAACAAGTGCAAATGTTATTAAAATCTTAAATTGAAGACTAGTTTGGAGAGCTAATAAAAATATAAGATTTGTAATTGCAATTAAACTTTTCAATTATAAATCTAATGTTTTGTAAGCTCTTAATACTGGTCCAAAATTAAAACTAATTAATAGATATACTAACTAATGTTTACTATGTATTCAATTATTAAGGTATTTATATTTTTTTTTAATAAGAAAAAGTGGTATATGCATACCTTAATTTATTTATTAAGGCATAATTTTTGCTAATCCCGTTTTGGCCAGTGCACAAAAGGTATGAAAGGAGTGAGCAGACAAGTGTTAGATTAAAACCGAGCTACCTTTCGCACACCAAGCCACTCGAGCTATAGCCACCCGATCCGGATCCGCTCCTTATTGTTGCTATTTTGCAAGGCAAACTATTTCGAATGGCGGCTAATGCGATTAGCAAATCGAAGGGTTGTCGATTGAAATTCAAGTGGCTGTCGCAATTAATTAATTTCATTGTTCGCCCCAGCTCGCTCCTGCTCGCGGCGGTTGAGCTGGCAGGTGTTTATTCGATCCGCTTTCGGGTTCAGAGTGCACCGACTGAGCTCCTCGAATCTCCATGCCGATGACACTCATTAACATAAAACGCAAAGGTGGCCGCAACCCATAAAGCCAGCTCACTTTTCGCACTCATTAAAACGACGTTGGCTTTTGTATTTTGTATTTTGTATTTCGTATTTTGTGTTTTGGGTGTGTGGGTCACTGTCCGGATGTCTTATCTTTTCGAAAAGCAAAGGAAGGGAGGGGTTGGACGTAAAATGAGAGGGTTATCAACCCATTTTAAGGCTGACGTCAGCAGCGGCACTCAAATTTCGGCGACACAAGTAAACCCTTTTCGCAGCCTCAAAACATTTAAATGTAATCTATTATCTTAATTCCAACACAAATTGTTTGGAGCCAGCCACGTCCGCGTCTTGGTCGCGGCCGCATTCGTCCTTGTGCGGGCTCTTAACCCGGCTAACGAAAATAAAAGCCCATTTACAAGCCGAGTGCCACTGCCACAGTCAAGGACTTGAGCCGCCCGGCAATTCAAATGCCAGGACACAGGACAAGGACAGCCGGCGAACGCTGAAAAGCAAAGCTTATCGGCCGCAACGTAAATCACCCAATTTACCATAAATAAAGATACGTACATATTGTCAGACATTTTGGAGGGCGAGTGGTTGGCTTTTCGGTGGTTTTCGGATGGTTTTTGGGTGGCACGATTGCAACCACAAGCGTGGCCACCACCGTCGAAAGCCGAAAACCGAAAACCAAAAGAGCCGAAACAAAACACCTTATCGCGGGCAGGCACATCTTTAAGTGGCTGTCAACGGAAGTGGCTGGTTCGGGGGGTTAAGGGAGGGGGTGGCACCACAAGGGAGGGGGGTGATAGTGTGGCAGGAGTGGGAGGGGCAAGGGTTTCGGGGGGCAACTACACCATTTGGCCGAACATAAATCTGCATGAACCGAACCGAGTGAACAAATGAAGGTGCTGTAGGAAGATAAATAAATAGCCATTGAGTCGATGAGGGGATCCCCCGAATTACCAGCAATAGTAGCTCAAGCACTGTTTAAATAAACACAAATAACCATAAGCTAAAGTTCTAAGGAGATCAGAAATACCTTTGTAATTCTTTAGCTGACAAATTGCAGAAATTTTAGCTTTTAAATAACCAGGTCCTTATATATTTTAAACTGCTACCCTAAAATCTATAGATTTTGAAGCTCTTAAAAGTGGCAGCTAGTCAATTAATTTCACAAAAAAGCAACAAAGTAAACAACGAATTTTATTTCTATAATCTCGTTGACCATTTGGACAGCATTAAAATGTTTCATTGTATGTATGCCACAATAATTATCATTTCCAAAGTATCTGAAGAAAGTACATTTTTGTTTGTAAATTGAGGGAATTGTTTACTTAATTTCAAGAAACTTTTCCACCAACCATCCAAATCTAGCTAGAAACCCTTTTAAAACCATACAATGTTGCCAACTCTGCTGCAGTCGTTGTCTACCGCATTTGATCCAAGTCAAATCCCCTTCGGCTCTTGGCTATTACTCTCATGATCAGGCAGCAGTTGAGTGGGAATGTGGGTGTGGATGGGGATGAGGATGACGATGGGGGATGTGGGTGTGGGAGGCCACTCCGCATCTTGGCCGGGCCCTGCCAGTCTTAGATTTACTTTACAAAAGCAACATTTTGCCAGTTGCGACACGCCACTCACCAGTGTCACCATCTAACCGGCTTGCCATCTACTCTTTTGCAGGCACATCAAATGGAGTGGGTGGAGCAGGAGTTCCAGGAGGAGTTCCCAGAGAAGGGGGACCAGCACCACCACCAGCAACACCAACAACACCAGCAACCCAAAAGACGACAGCAGCAAATCGCGATTATGACGATGATGACGAGCACAACGACAAGGATGAGAGTCACGACAACAAACCCAACGACTTGGCTGAAAGGGAGCGAAAGGACAAGGAGCAGGAGCAGGAGCTGGAGAAGAAGGATGCCGTTGCCAAGCCTGCGGCAAGTCAAAAGCGTGCAGCACAAACGACACAATCGCGAAATCCCATCAGACGGGCGCACAGTGAACGGCATTTGTCGACCGCGCCCCTGGTCGCCAACGCCTCTGCCTCTGCCGCCCACGGCCACGCCTCCTTCGTCTCCACCACCGCCGGCAGAAACTGCCACTCCATCCCGACGACTCCAGCCAGTGGGCCACAGAATGTCATTTTAAATTTTAAGGACACAATGGCGCTGCGCATAAAAAGCAACCGCAGCGACTCGAGAGATTTATTTCAAAGGCGGCCCACGGAGCCGCCGCCACCGCCTCCCAATGGAGGAGGCAAAGGATTAGAGATGCTGCCACTGCCACTGCCACTGCGGCACCCGCACGAAATCAATAAGTCGCCTCTGTCGCCCCAAAGGACAGTGGTGCGGGTGGCTCCATTCAAGCCGCAGAAGCAGCAACAGCGGGAGGGGGGTGAGAGCTTCACCCAGGAGGTGCATCGCCTCAAGATATCCCACAGCGAGGAGGACACGGATTTGGGGGTGGAGCTGAGGAGGAGGCCCAACCTATTCCTCTCCTCCCCCGACGAAGAGGATGCGGCCCCGAAGAAGACCTCCATCCTGATCAGCGGCGATGATTGCTACTCCACGATGAACCTGAGTGCGGATGCAGCTCAGCCACTGTACCAATCCTCGGTGGTGGTCAATAGCCACTCGGCCACGAGTGTGTGCATCAGTGTGAGCAGTGCCGAGGAGCAGGAGCAGGAGCTCAACCAGCTGAACACGCTGCGCAGCCAGCAGATGGGCATGGGCATAGCCATTATACCCATTCGGGGAGCCAGCGAGGTGAACCTGCAGAGGTCGGTGTCCTGCATCTCGTCCACTTCGAGCAGCTCCACCTCCAGCAGCAGCAGTTCCAGTGGCAGGGGAAGGACCCTCATCCGGCTGGACTACGAAAGGGAGAGGAAGGGATCGGCCACCAGCAGTACGCCCATCAATACTCCTCCTGTTATCAGTTCCACGCCAGCCACGCCGCCTCCCGAGGATTCACCCAATCCTTTGGTTCCCCACGAGACAGAGCTCTTGAAGATCCTTCGCAATCCGGTGGAGGCAGTGAAACTGAACCTGGTGCCGCATGTCTGTGGCCTGCGAGCTCCATCGCGGGAAAGTGGGAAAGCCAAGAAGTTGCAGGCTGAGGAGGCATCAACTGCTCCGCCCAAGGAACCCGGTTTCATAGCCAAACTCCTGCAGGATCCCATGCTGGGTCAGGTGGCCGAGGGACTCGAAACGGAGACGGTGGCGGAGCTCATCGAGAACTCGCTGCAGAGACTCCAGCAGACCAGGAGGGGAATCGACATGAGCGGCACCAAAGACCACGACGACATGAATCGCCTGATCAGCGCCTCGCTGGAACGCATCCGCCTGGAACGCCAGCCGGTGACGACGACACCTGGAAGAGCAACCAAAGAGGAGGACCGCCTCTCCAATCGGGGCAGCATCAGTTCCGCCAATAGCTTCGCCTCGGCCCACAACTACGAACTTTTCGATTTCGATGGCGGAGCCGGTGGCAATGAGTCGGATTGCTATCAGAGCTGCTCCAGTGAGTTGACAGCCTCTGGAATCCTGGAAGAGGATCCTGTCACCACCATAAAGGATCCCGAAGTGGAACTGGATCCCGCCACGCGTGCCAAGTTCTATCAACTTCTGGTGGATGCCACTTTGGCGGAGATTGAGCACTCCACGCATGTGGATCAGGATTTGGGAACTGAGACGGAACATCACTACGAATCGATTAGGCATAGTGGTGACCCCATTTACGAGGAGATCCATGAGGTTCCACCGCCACTGCCACTTTCTGCTCCTCCTCTGAATGATGCCGAGCTGGACAAGAAGGCTGCCCGCTCCATCTTCGAAGGAGCCTCCAAGTACGATATCCTATCCTATCTGGTGGATGCCAAGGAACGCGGTTTGGCCAGGGAAGAGAGCTTTGATTATGGCAACAATCCTAAGATTATAGAGGAGGAAGCTGCCGATACGCTGAGTGATTTGGACAAGCGACAGGCGGAGGAGCGAGATCGGGAGCGGGACAGTGGCCAGAGCAGCATGAGTTCCCTATCGCCGCCACCACATAATTTCATTTGCGGCGGAGGAGGAGGAAAGTCATGCGGCAGTGATGTGGAACGCCAGGATTCAGGAGTGGGTTCGGAAACTAGTAAGACTTCTCGCAGCAAGTACCAGGCCACGCCCACCGTGCTCCACCTGTGCGAGGATTGCGATGGACCCGTGGAAATGCAGGTGGGCGACGGCGGAGTCCTCTACGCTCCTCTGGTTTGCAGGAAGTGCGGGAGGAAGCGCGTGGAGCGCAAGGAGATCATCACCGAGATCGTGGAGACGGAGGAGAAGTACGGCAGGGATCTGCAGATCATACTGGAGGAGTTCTGCCACCCCATGCTGGTGGCCGGCCTGCTCACCCAGGAGCAGCTCTCCGCGATCTTCCTCAACACGGAAGATCTGCTCGAGAACAACCAGACGCTGGCCGAGCGAATGCGCGACGCCCTGGACATGTCGCTGGAGCAGGGCGACGACGACCTGCTGACGGTGAACATCGGGCGCATCTTCCTCGACTTCACCCAGATGCTGCACGCCTTCGAGAGCTACTGCGTCCGCCAGGCTGGCGCCAGTCTGCTGCTGGCCAATCTCGAGAAGGAGAAGGAGCTGCTGCGCATCTTCTTGAAGGTCTCCCAAATGGAGAACGCCGTGCTGCGGCGCATGAACCTCAATTCCTTTTTGATGGCGAGTAGTTCAATGTGTTTCTATATAAAACCAGTATTAATCATATATTTTTTTGTAGGTTCCCGTTCAGCGTGTGACTAAATACCCCCTGCTCCTGGCCCGTCTCTACAAGGTCACCCCCTCGCAAATCGATGGACGCGATCTGCTGAAGCAGGCCCAGGAGAAGATCGAGCTGCACCTGAACCACATCAACCAGGAGGCCAAGGACGTGCCCACCAAGCTGTGGCGGCGCATCAGCTCCTCCAGCCCGAATCGACGTGCCTCCTGCGAGATCGACATGATCAACATCAAGCTGCGCAAAATGGCCATCGATGTCCTGGAGTGGAACCACGACGAGGTGCGGTTCGCCATGGAGGGACGACTGCTCTACACACAGCCCACGGACAGCAACTGGAAGAAGGCACGCACCATCAAGTTGACGCCGGTGAACGCCTTATTGGTAACCAATGGCAAGGTAGGTGGTGCAGTTAAGTAGAAATACATAATTAAATCAAATTAATATTCTAGAAACTATATTTAAAGTATTATTTACATCCTCAAATATATATGTACAATAAATTAAAACCCAGAAACATATATATAATAAGTAATTCTAACCATCTTTAACAAACATAGTCGAAAGCCCCGTAGATAGAACTATGCCCTTTTATATTACCTTTAGTTGTATAAACTATTCTATCATTTATATTTATAATAAATAAATAAATATATATATATCTTCTTTAATATATATAAAATATTAGGACCATACTTTTTTCCTAGTTTGATAAATTATAGTTCCGTTTTTCGTCTTTATGTCTAACTAAAATTAGGTTTTAATCTTAGCAAATCTTATTAAGTTTTACAGTTTAAAACATATTTTAAGCTTACCTTATTTAAAACGAATAATAAGTTGTATGTACATAATTTTAAATATGTAGTACTTAAATTAGAACACCGACCAATCTTTCTTAAGAGGAATGACTAAAATTGATTGCATAAGGGCATGGCCTGACTTTTGCATAGTTCACTTATTTTCTTCAACTTGGCTGAGCACCTCTTGTAGTACCTCCTCCGGCTCCTGCTCCTACTCCTGGTCCATCTCCTCTTGTTCCACCTCTCTTTCCTCCTCCTGACTGGGCCACATTCGACAGGCATCAAGAGACGTTAGGGCGTTTGACACGGGCCAAGATGGCAAAGGCGATTGCGATGGCGATGGCGATGCCAAGGCAATTAGCGAGCGACGCTATCCAACTGGCTCCGTGCGGTGGGAGCCGTCCGGAGCTGTCTCGGCTTTTCCGGCTGCCATGGCAACACTTTCCCGTGCGATAAAAGATTTCAACAAATCAGAGGCGAGCCCATTGAACCGGCACCGAGTCCAAAACCCAACGCCCACTGCCAGCCTTTCTCGTTCTGGGCTTTTTTTCCTAATGAAAAGTGCTTATCCCAGCAACTATCTCGGGTCCAAAAAACAAAACCATTTTAGGTTAGGGGAAAAGCAGAGGAAAGTGGCATCCTGCCAGGAGTTTTGGGATCGAGGGCGTAATCGGCATACGGACGCAGTGCGTATGTCACATGTTTTGCATGGTTTTTCTGCTCCGATCGGGGTTTTCATTTTTTCCAGACACCCTGCTCTAAATTTCTAACCCGGCCTCGACCGCCGACAATTGCTCAATTCAAAAACGGTCGACATCCAGTTCGTTGCCTGTTCGCTTTTTGTTTTTTTGCGAGTTGGTCCTGGTTCTGTAGCTCCAGTTGCTTCTTGGTGCCGCTTCCTGCGGCAGTTTCTCGGCCTGACACGCTTTGTGCGTTTGCCAGAACCTTATCTAGAATAGTCCAAACTACACTGAGAGAAAACAAGGAAAATTCAGTATTTAAGAGAGATAAGTAGGCTACTTTAATTAATGATAAATCATTAAGGCAGTTAAGCCAATTAAGATTTTATAAGAGATAAATCCAATATATTAACTTAGGCTTACGAATATTTTAATTCTATTTCCTTTCTTGTATTTAAACTTAGTGTAGTTCACTTATAATTTTTTAGATTCGTCTATGTAAGAAATTCATTGCATTTTCACTTTAGCTGAATTTATACATACTCAATTCAAAGACATACAAAAAAGATTATTTTAAAATAGGTAACCTGTTATTATTATAAGACTTTTCTCACATACACAAGTCTTATTCAAATGGTTTTTTTTAACTAAGTTTTGCTAAGATACAAAATTTGCCTTAAGGATTCAGCATATTTTTTCTCTATGCCTTTTCTCCACCCACTTGTAGTTGTAATTTTGTTTAGTTTCGTTTTACACAATTTTCCATTTTTTCTTATTCTTTATCCTTTATTTCCATTGTCGCCGCTTTTGGTCCTTTTTTTGTGCCACACCAACCGACATCGACGACAACTAACACTAAACCTGAAACAACGGCTGCCGTACAACCATACAACCGAACAACCGTACAACAACAGCCAAGTGCCAATTACAGGGCAGAGAAGGCCATGTCGGAAAAACTGAATTTCCCGAAGCACACGGGCATCCGCGAGGCCTCGCTGCTTTTGGTGAAGGAGAAGTGCGGACGGTACACGCTGATCCGGGAGCCGCTCTATCTGGACAGATGTGTCGTGTGCAGCGAAGCGGATTGGGATGATTATTTCGAAGTGCAGGAAATTTCATCGAAGGACACATTCATATTCAAAGTGAGTACGAGCCGAAGTATCGGTATCGGCATCGCAGCAAGGACCCTTTGTTTTCCACTCCAACTGGCCAAGCCAATTCAGTATGTAGTCCGTAGTCCATAGTCCGTAGACCGTAGTTCTGTTCCCGTTGAGTTGGCATTTGAATTAGTGAGCGCCAGCCTTTTGACTGCACATCGCAACCCAGTGTTTGGGCTTCGTTAGTTTCCAGCTTAGTGTGGCTGGGATTGGGAATGATAGTTCCTGGCCTCTTTTTTCTGGCCGAGAAGTGCGGTTAATAGAGCAGCGCAACAGGAGGGTTAACCAACCTCGAAATGGTGTATTCCACCAACATGTGGAAAACGTTTAACAGGAAGAACACTACGGGAAATAAAAGAATATTAAACAAGTGTATATCAATTTTGCTTAGGTAGAAAAATATAGACTGTTAATTCTTAGCAAGGAAATTCTTTTGAGGAAATTCAAAACATTAATAGTTTCCAACCGCTTATTAACTTCGAAAGGTCGATAATTAACTATTGTTGGCTTGACAATGGATTAGATTTAACAATAGTTATATTAAAATAACGGAGAAATTCAAAGTTTGAGAAATGTATAAGCAATACATGGGCATTCAGCCGAGTCAGCTTGAAGTGCTTCCTGCACAATCATCTAGGAATGTAATAAAAGTCACCCTTGGATAGCTCCTTCATTCACACTCACATGCTCATAACCTTTTCTAGGGGAGCTGGGAAATTCCTTGAGCTGGGGAACAAGGAAGCTATGACACAATGAAGAGTTTACCTTTCTCGGAGCAGGAAAGTAAAGAAATTTTAATAACAGACAGAGCGCAAAAAGCGTATGCAAAAATCCATTCCAAATCTTTGCCCGTCTAATGCTTGTAGCATCATCCGACCAGCCATCCAGATTTTAGTCATGCAAATTTACATTTTTTTCCCTTATTTTGTTGAGGCCCGGCTAAGCCATCGCAGGATGGGAGAGTCCTGGCCGGGACCCGCAGGCGGAGATCCAGATCCTTTCAGACGCGCTCAGGCAGCGCACGTAGAGCGGCTGCCAAAATGAATGACATTTATTGAAATACGTTATATAAAGAATGAAAGAAAAACGCACGGGAGCGCAACAAAATGGCTGCGTGAGCGCCGCGGCGGGAAAAGGGCGAAAATGGAGACAGCCAGACTTTGGAACACTGCCAGACAGACAGATTTAATACAGGATACAGTTCACAAAAAAATAAATTATGATTTACTTCTGCAAAACCATTAAAATCATCAATTATAATTCCATTTCTGACTATTAAATATTTGGATAGATCAAACTAAAGCACAACAAAGTGTACAAAATTAGACATTGATGCAAAACACAGTTGACAATTTTGAATGCATTTTTTTTATATATTTCTATTAAATTATTTATCAATTAATACAATTTAAATTATTAGAATCCTAGGTTTGAAATTATTCTCAGTTAAGACCTGCAATAATTATTTTTAGTTATCTAAAGAATATTTAAAGTTGGCAACTGTTCCTCATTTATTTTATTGTTTCTAATTATTATTATGAAAAAAGATAATGTTTGTTTTTAAGCAAATATTCAAAGAAAAAGATTTAGATAGCTTTGTTTTAACTTTTTTGACTTTACTATTTTAGGGAAGTAGGTTTGTCTCCATTTTATACATATCATTTTAAATATTTTTTCTAATTTCTTAAATAAAGGGCATTAGAATAATTAAAATGAGAAAGATTTGTTATTATGTTTTTAGGAGTGTAGGGATTACACTACGGCGTAGGCATTTTGAGGCCGGCGGCGCATAAATTGAAACGTTTAGTTCCGGCCAACTGAGCGGCTGACAAGCGGCGCACACTCACACACCCACTCACACACCCACACACTCACAAACACAGTTGCGTACACGCACTCCACGGGTCCTGTCGAAATGACAACCTTGCTGGGTGGAAAAGTGCCGGGTGGGAAAGAGGGGGGAGGGGTTGTGGAGGTCAGGGCCCAGTCAATCAAATACGTCTAACGGGTTTACACGCCGCTTTATTTATTCGCAGGCGGAGGATGGAGTGCGGACGAAACAGTGGTACACACAGCTGCAATATCACGCCCAGGGCATGGGGGCGTGGCGGAAGAGGCGGAACGCCCTGGCCAACATAATGATCAACGGAATGCTGGCCCGAAGCTAGCCCATCAACAACAACATCAGCATCCACGAAACCATTCCCCAGCCCAAAAACCATCCGCAGGACTCCGGATTCCGAATAGTTTGGCAAAGGACGTAAAACTCAACAATTGGTTATGCATTTAATGTGTATTTATGCGCTATTAACCAACGAGCAATTTCGTTTCGTAATTATAATTTAAGTGATATACAATTGAATCGAGCACGCATAACGCTAGTTAGTGTTTACATAATGCCTATTTCTATACCTATACCTATACCTATATATTATGCATAACCAATACGTACACACGAATACCCTGAATACAATGCAATAAAATACCATACATTAATTAAACACTTCAAATTGCGCAATAATTGAGAGGCTATTTGTTTAAGGTCTTGCGTCATAAATCCTGGTTGTGGCATGTCTATTGAATCCACCTGGGCCAATCTGGGCGAAGAAGGAGAGGCTCCTCAATAAATCTCACGTTTTTCTATTATTTTTAAATTTAGCCCCAAGATTTATGGACAGACGGGAAAATATGTAGGGAATCGAGGCACGCACGTGGCCCAGACTAAGTCCAAAACAATCACAATTGTTGCCGAAAAGTGCTCGGCGCAAACCATAAAGCATTGTAAATATTTTTGGTATTATAACAGGCCATAGAGTACCGACCGGTTGATTAAACCATTTTAAATCCCATGAACTCATATTTGGTCAACAATAAAAACACTCAAGTGGCAAGGGCTCTCGGGTTTATTATTTGTTTAATTACACAAACAACAGGGCAGATTATTACGGTTAAACACGAAACGGTAATTGTTATGACCAGCAATTGCTGCGACAATTGTAATGGGCAAAAACGAAAATAAATATGTGAACGGGCTTTAGTTGTCGGGCCTTATATATCTATATCTGCGGCTACCTCTGGTTTAGAACCTAATCTATGGAAATATTCTGCTAATGGATTTTCGTATTATATTCATGCACAGAGCCAAAAGGTACATATCGATATTACTTCTATAGAATATATATCTTAGATAGTAATGAAGTAGTAGTGAATGAATATTATTTCGATATTATTTTATTTTTAATTTCAGTTTTTTTTTAAGTATTAATCCAACCTATAAATTTGCACATATAACATTTTAGTTTTGTGTAGCATACATTTCAGGGCAAAGCAAAGCTGTGGTTATTAACTTTTCGTTGGTTAATTAAGCCATCGAACTTTATTATATAAAATGTTCTGTTTATCTAGATTCCGGTCCCAGACTACACTACACTACATGCCAAATTGTTTAATGGCAACACTCGACCTCATCGCTTTCCCATTTTCCCTGCGGTTAACCCACATAAACAACAGCACTGCGAACACGTTGAAATTAGTTCGGTTAAGGCAATGTGAAAATAATTTCCAGACTCGCCTGCGGCGCATCAAAGCCTTTGATGGCTTCCGCTCTAAATTATACTAATACGCCACGTAAACAAGTTCCAAATCCTTTAAAGCTCCGCAAGAAGGCAAAAACTAGGGAAAATTGAAAAACGCCGGCAAAGGCGACGGTCTAAGGAAAATATTGTAGCCACTGCGCCAGTAACGGCAAAGGCAAAGGCAAAGGGAAACTGCATGCTGAGCGCAATTATGCTGGACAAACATTTACCAGTCAGGCGGAGCAGCCATGACTGCTGCACAGAGAGAAAATTCAAGTACCATTAAGCAGCAGGAACTCCAAGAGTTAAGAAAATATGCCAGCAAGGGGATCAAATATCAAAGTCATTTTATAACATTATTTACTTTCTGTTTGTTACATTTTCAGCACGATTACGAACGATTTATATTCAAATGTTTTATATTATGTTTAAATTTGTGTAGTTATTAGTACGGTTATATCCAGTTGTATTTACTCTATATAATATATTTTTATAGATAATAATTTATATAATTTATAAACATAAAATTTGGATCAACAACATTATCAACGTTAAAATGAAAATTTTAAAAGTCAAACAAGTCGTAAGTGGTATGCCAATTTGAAGTTGGCTTACATTTGGTAAAGTTATGGACTTTAGAAGCCCTATTGTGGGTTACCTGTTTACCAGCCTTCGGAATATAAATAACTAACTTAAACGTTAAATTGACAAATTTTCAAAAGCAAACTTCGGCAAGCGGAAGCTTATATCCCCTTGCAACTATTACGAAAATAAAATATAATGTATTTCGATGCTTAAAAAAAATGGAGAAAACATTTGAACCATATAGTTCCTAATTAAGAACAACTAGTTATTTTTCTCCGTGCTTTACATTTGGCTGGTGGCAGGTGGAAATGGGCTTGGAGGTCGGTACTTAGCATCCACCTTGGCACATACACTCAAAACCCTTCCGATGGCACTACTTCCAGTGTTCAGCTCCGATGCTTGCCAAACACAGACAGAGTCAGAGACTCAGAGACTCCGGCCCAAGTCAGCTGGAGATGTTGACTAGGTCGTGAACGTGTTATAACAATAGGGTGTCCCGATGGATGGAGTGAAGATGGTGGCAGGATGGGGGAAATGGCGAAAAGCAGCGGCACTAGCTGGCGACTAACACTAACGAGCAGTTAAACAAGCTTAAGATTTGCCGACGCAAATAAAAACACACAGCCGGAGCTCCGGAGTTGAGAAGCCACCCGGTTGAGCCCCCCAATCCCGCCAATCCCGCCCAGAAATTGCTGCCAATGCCAAGCGGAACGGAAAGGGAACGGGAAGGCCAACGGAAGTGCGGATCGGCGTGCAATAACACAACCAAGGCACGTAGCACAAACACGGTACATTATATTGTATAAGCAGACTTCATTACGGTATTTAAACAGAATATCCACAAATTCTGACATGCCAACTGGGAACCGTGGATCGGAAACACCAAACACAAAGATTAAAGAATATATTTTGGTTAGCCAACATACGACTTGCAGCTGAATTATCCATATGCTCAAACAATACACACAGAAAATAAAGAACAACCAAATTGAATTTCTTAAATAATGTTTCTTGTCCATTTGTGATGTCCATTTTTTGCTTAAACTCTTGTTGCCGTGTAATTGCTTTCCTGTGGTAAAATTCAACAGTTTTCTGTGGCTGACTTTCGTTAAGTTCATTCCAGGCCTCTATAAATTGAATTATTTGCTTTCATAAATTCAATATTATTGCTTTATAATTTTGGGTTCGATAATTAAAGTTTTCCTTTCACCTTTTACGCTTTCAATATCAAATTAAACTGGAAACCACATAAGTGGCAGTGTTATTGGAAAACTTGTCGAACTCCAAACATTTTGGCAGCGAAACTTTTGCATTTCACCCATGGTGCTTGAGGGCGTGCCAATATCCACATACCCACATCAAAAGTCAAATTGTGAGCAGTGGAGCAAGTCGAAGGCGAACTATCCGAGGACCACAACTTGAAAGTCCCACCCCCCCCGCGCCCCCCTTTCCATCCGGTTGAGCATCTTGTAAAAAATGCATCACGTACTGCGAAGGTTGGCGTCTGATTCCCGATTCCTGATGCCTGATGCCTGGCAATGTGATTAGACCCCAGGCACTGAATGCACAAACTTTTCCGGAGCAGCGGCCATCCCCCCTCCCCCGCGGACTGCGGCATATGCTGCCTCCGGATGAAACTACGGACGGGCAATAAAAATTTGTCGCCAGGCCAATAAATGTAGACCATATCCAAATGCCAAGAAGCCCCGGCACGGAAAAACTAACCGAAAAAACCATTTCATTGCTGTATTTAAAATGCCGCAAAACTTGCAAGCCACAGGACCAAAAAAACAAAAAACAAAAAAAAAAGGACACAATGGAAAACAGGTGAGACAAGCTGACTCTGGGTCGCTTTTCCCCCTCTGGTGCTCCTTTTTTGACCGTGCGCAAACAGATTTGAAGTAATAAAAAATTGAAATTAAAAGTTCCACTTCAGTTGACCACTTGGCCACTCACCGCGAATGGCGATGCCATGGCGACACAGTTTTCACACGAAATAGGTCGTAAAAATTATGAGCAAATTCGCGGTTAAAGGTGACCGGCGAAAACTGCCAGAGATGGCAGCTATTTGGAAAATGAAATCTGTGGAGTTACGGGATAAGCTCCATTTATTGAGCACATTTTATTTTTCAGTCGTTTTATTTTCCAGAAATCGGGATACTTTTCGGTTTTAATTTTATTATGTGTGACTATGATAAAATTAAGCGATTGCTCATTGGGATTTTACAATAAACACGATTTTTATCATCGATTTTAAGATTGCTCCGTTTTTAAGAAATGTGCTATTATAAGTTATTTTCTTAATCCAACAACACTGATATCCGTTCTAAGGTAAACTTGTCCCCCCATCACCGCCCCCCATCACCTCCTTTTCTATCCACTTCAGCTGGCTGCTCAATGAGGTCAATGGGCAGCCATTTCATTTCCATAATTTTCATTATTTCGCGCTTAGAGCAAATCAAACAAATCGTTCAACAGGAGCGAAAGAAAATTTAATTGTTGTGCGGCCTTGTCAGTTGTCAGTGTGTGTGTGTGTGTGTGTAAGTGCGGGTGCAGCGTCTTTGTATGTGTATGTCTTTGACTCTAATCAAAATTGCTGTGCACACACATTCAGCATATTTCACACATCGTAGCCGACGGAGAGCACATAAGAATAATGTGCGACACGTTCGGGCATAAACCGAATTAAGTATACGCCGCGTTTGCCAGCCAGCCAGGCAGGCAGCCAAGCAGTCAGGCGGACTGGTGGACTGGCGGGCAGGACGTAGCCCGGAGTTAGAGCTCGGAGTCGCACAGCCGGAGTGTCGGAGTGTTGGAGTCCGAGCCGCAAAACCAACCGCACTTACACACACGTAAACACACTAACGCCAAGTCGCATCTTTATGCGTTGTAGCTGCTCCAAAGTGGCAAGCAAACACCCACCCTGAATCCAAGACCTCACCGCCCAGTGCCACCCACTACCCCACCCTACCACCCCCTGCCACCCACTGCCACCCCCTGCAGCATGTGCTAAATATGTATGAAAAAAAACATCAAATAAAAAACAAAAAAAAAAAGTGTGGCAAAAAGTTTTTGTGCGCACGCCGTGGAAAGGCCAACGTCTAAGTGAATTTGCCATAGTCAAATTTGGTGCGGCTTGCCTTAGGTCAGGTCTGTGAACCACGGGTTACCGCACATGGACTGTACGAACTTCGAGTTTTCCCAAGCAGAAACACAAGTGCCGCTCGCGTAAACTGCATGAAATTTGCATTAATTTAGCTTGGCCCAAGCTCATTCGAACAATTTCGGGTCCAGCCACACAATAAAATCCCCAATCCCGAATTATTAAAAATTTTCAAATAAATCACAAATTTGACCAACAACCCCGCCTCTCAACGTGGCAAAGCCCACAAAACGACAGCAGCTGCCGGCGAACATCGTGACCGACTGCCGCCGAGTTCAGTGTGTCAATCGCAGGCGAGCGGACTGCCGAGCGGTATTCGCAGAGAAATCCGCTGACAAAAGCGCGCGCTTGAGCAGTGACTTGAGTGGGCGGTGAAAGACTCAAGAGCAAATAAGTGGTTTCACGGAGTGCCACTCAAATGGGTGGGGAAAAAATCATGTGGCGACAATTTTGCCTGCATTGGGCACTCGTGAAAACTTCAAGGGGATGATTGGAAGCTTCGCTAGTAACCAAAATTCACCACGAAATGGGGGTGTAAAAAGTAAAAGAAAAAAAAGCATTTCTCCATGTCAATAAAAATGGGATGTAAAGGCTAAATTATTGCACGCAGGTAATATTTATGTAAAATGCCTATGAAAAGCTACTTTTAGGCATTGTTAGCCCCACAATGATCGATTCAAATGCAATTTCTTTTATGTGGAAACAAGCAATAAAGAGAGATATCTAACACACAATTGGGCGGAAAACAAAAGGATGCTAGCAATGGTTAATGTCAATCACACATTAAGTCTTATGTCCCAGAAATCTCTAAAGATGTTGATTATAAGACTAAAAATTAAAATATTGACCGAGGTCAATATTCTAAGGTTCCACTTCTATATAAAGCCTTTCTATATTCAAGCCTAGAAATTCTAAAAATTCGGTTTTTAAATATAATTGCTGCGAAGACCACACATCTTGCTTTACCTTCTGATTTAAACAGATTTATGCCACCTGAAAAAATCCAAACCAAAAACTAACGCACACTCAGATATTTGTATAAATATAGGGAATTGTAATATCAATAAAAAAAATCTAAACCTAAGTGAGTGCTCCAAAATAAAATAAATTTCCAAACTCATTAATATTGGATTAGTAAAATTAGTTTAAAGTTTTAGTTTTTGAAACTTCCCAAATTGACCTTCTGTTATCCGAGGAAAACACTTGGGCGGCAATTGGTCATTGACCGGGTGGAAGGATCTGCCGTCCGTCGGAATCCTTTAAAACGGCTCCGTAGGCTCAAGGCGAAACGCTGCTAAGATGTTTGCTTAGCTGGCAGGAGACTTTAAACTTGGGGGAATTTGCATACATTAAGGGTGTTTTGTTATTTTGTTAGCAAAAGGCAATTCAAATCCTTTTACTTCCGCTTTAGGCAGCAACGACTACGGCAAAAGACAGATGCGACTGATAGCAGGATTCACATTCGCACCGCCTCACACCTCCCACCTCTGGTTTTCCTGAACCCCCTCCCCTCTAGTTTCCCCATCCGTATTTAACGGTGACGCGTGCGTAGCGTATAAAGAAAAATATGATTACATATTGTTGAATTTAGTGAGGCGCGGGGAAAAGGGTGGAAAAGGGTTGACATTTTTTGTGAGGCCATGTCAGAAAGCGGAGCCCAGCCACTCAGAGGCAATCAGCTCCGATTCCCTCATCGACACGGAAAATAAATTCAATCAGGATCATCTTTATAAAAAACATTTTACAATTGAATATACTAATTTCTTAACTTATGACAAAAACTCTCTTTAACCTTAAAAAAAATTTAGTTTAATCGAGTGGATTTTTTCCGGATTTTGGTCATCAAAAACATTTATTTAAAGACACATTTCTTAAGAGTCTTTGGTTGTAACTTTCCCAAAATAAGACCCACAGCCAAAAGAATGACTGTTTTGTGCAGCTGAGAACCTATTCAATAAATTCCATGTGGATTTGGAAGAAATTATTTTTTGACCGATTTTGCATTTTTCATAAGGGGTAACATCGTCTTTTTTTCGAAATTCGGACCAAAAAAAATATTTTTGCTGATAATACCAATGAATTGGAAATTTTGTAACGAGTTCAACGAGGTATGACATTCCAAGATCTGACCAGTATTTCCAAGGGTTTTGATCAAAAAAACTGAAAAATTTATCAGAATTTTCCAGAATTTTTGCCATTAAAAAAAATTTATTGAAAAGCCAATTTTTTAAGGGTTTTTTGTTGTAACTTTGCAAAATAAGACTCACAGCCAAAAGAATGACTGTTTCGTAAAGCTGAGAACCTATATAATATATTCCAGGTTGATTTGGTAAAATTTATTTTTTGACCGATATTTGCATTTTTTATAAGGGTATAAGTAACATCGTCATTTTTTGCGAAAATTGGACAAAAATAAAATTTTTTATCTGAGAATACCAATGGATTGGAAATTTGCTAACGAATTCATTGAGGTATGACATTCCAAGATCTGACCATTATTTCTAAGGGTTTTGATCAAAAAACCGAAAAATAGAGCTGATTTTTTCCGGATTTGGGCCAAACACACACTTTTTAAGGATATTTTGTTGTAACTTTGCCAAAATAAAACGCACAGCCAGGAAAATTACTGTTTTGTGCAACTGAGGAAATAAACTATCGATTTCAGGATTTTTGATTTTGATCTAACCCTTGAGTTGACTATAACCTGTGGGTGTCATAAATATTTTCGCGCAGTGAACGAGGTCATAAATTTTCGGTATGAATGCAAGGTTTCCGAAGTAAGCTTCCGTTCTCGTTCTAAAGTTAAAAGAACTCAAATAATATCAAAGTCTTTTTCTTAGTGCAGACAACTTCCAAACAAATAGCAAACAACAACAGTCGATGCGACAACAAGGGCAACAATGGCGGCATTCAATTTTTAATATTTGCCTTGCAAATTTTCTATAAAATGCATTTGTTGTCTACAAGCCTCCAAGCCTCCTCGTCCACTCCCCCGGGATTCCACAGCCCTCTTGATTTTCGGTGGGCGGATGGACCGGAGACCGATGACTGGCGGAGGGCACACAATCGCCCAACAACACCGAAAACTAAAAAACGGGGTAAACTGGGAAACTGGCAACAGGAAGCCGCCTGCGCCGGGCCAAAGTGGGAAAGTGAATGGAGCACGGCAATGTCAACACATGGAAACTGCAAGGACAGCGGCGGAAAAAGAAAGGAAAACGGGGAAAAGCGAAAAGGAAAACGAATGGCAACAGCCACAGTAACTATAAACTGGAATGATATTGCCAACGAACATAACATAACCACACAGAAAAAAATGTACTTTAATTATGATGGATTGAATTTTAATAAAATATAATAGGAACAGACTATTTGACTATATGGAGTTTTTATTACGAATTAATATTCACATATGAATAACAAAGCAGAAAAAATTTCTTTTATATATATGTTATAAAAAATATTTTGGGAATAAATTTAGGGAAGTTAAATGTTTGCTTGTTGAAAAAGGTGAAGTAGTAAACTTTAATGTTTTGAAATATATATAAATCTGTACTACTTCTAATAGTTTTCTGGACTAGATATTTAGTTAAAGTGCATTTAACTATTTTGTTGTAGTGCAGCCGAATGGCAAGAGCGGAGCTAGTGAACCCAGTAGGACCCAAGATAGCTCCTAGAACGAAGTTAGGCTGGGCGGGCGGAAGCAATAAATTGGTTAGGTAAAAAGCTTGTCGCAAACGCAGACACCGGCAAAAAGCGGCAAAAAGCGGCACGCGAGGCCGAGACAGGCCCGTAATTTCTGCTCCGCAAAAAGTCGGAGCCGGAGTGAAATAGAGGTGCCCGAGGATGGTTTATTTCCCATGAGGTTGCAAATTAATACTAAATGTCTGCCATGCAAATACATAATTGACTTTAAATTTGTTTTGACAAGAATAAGTGGAAAACTTTGCAGCTAAGATGGGGGATGTGAGGAAATGCAAGTTTTGTTGCTGTCATAAGTGCAAACATTTGCTTTAAAGGGGTTTCTAAAATGTTTAATTCTGAAATTGAGATTGTGAGCTTGTGATATTAAAATCTGCATTTGAAGTAGGATGAATAAATATACCACTTTATACTCATAAATAAACATTATAGCTTAGATTTGTTAGATAAATATTTAGTTAAACTTATATATAGGGAGTTTATAAAAGTTTAAATGTTTAAATACTCATTTTTAGCTCTTGTTTCCTTATTTTATTTTAGTTGTGAACTTTCTTTATGGCCACGCTGGTTATATCGGCCTCCTTGAGCTCCTCGTCGGTGGTGCGATTGTAGATGTGCTTCAGATACAGATTGAAGTAGTCTGTGTAGTTCATCGGCGTGGATATCTGATGCTTTCGAACCGGAAGTCGCGGTGAAAGGGACAACATGCTGGCCCACTGTCCATCGCAGAGGTCATCATAGCGGAGCAGACCCACCTCGTGACCGCCCAAATCGCCAGGACCTCGGCACATGGGCTGCTGGCCATCCCAGAGCTTCAGCACGAACTCCCGTATCCACCTGGCCAAATAGAGAGCACGGCAGTCGCAGTGCCAGGGATTCTTGTCCAGCTTGACGGCCACCAGCTTTTCCAGGCCATGGAGAGCTCCAGTGGGCAGGAACATCAGCTTATTGGAGTCAATGCGGCTGAATAAATAAACAAAAATAAAATTATAGTGCTACGTTAGGTTTGGTACTCACAGTTTTTCCAGTTGTTTAAGAGGCTCAAAGGCGCTGGCATCGAAATTCTTGAGAATATTATTGTTGAGCAACAAAATCTTTAGGTTACTCAGTCCCTGAAAATCATCAGCTTCCAAGGTGGTCAGATTATTGGAAAAGAGTGTCAATCGAGTGAGAGCACTGACATTCAGGAAAAGATCCGCCGGAATGCTGGACATGGAGTTCTGGCCCAAAAACAATTCCTGCAAGTTATTTAGCTCCACAAAGGCATGGCCATCAATCTGGATAACAAAATATATAATACAATATAATAATCATAGATTGTTGAAAAGCTCACATGACTTATCCGATTCATGGTCAAATCGAGGGTGACCAAGTTGGCCAGGTTATTGAATATGGTGGCCGAAAGCGCTGATATGCGATTGTTGTGCAGCGAAAGGGTTCGCAGACTTCTCAGACCCACAAAGAAGTCATCATCTATCTTGGCTGGAAAAAGATTAGCTTTGTAAGTCATAAACGCATACTTGTAATTTATAATTCTCACATATTTGATTCCATCCAAAGTCGAGGGTCTTCAGTTTGGTCAGAAATCGTATGCTACCAGAACTCAATTCAGTGATTTTATTCCGCGACATATCCAGTTCCTCCAACATCAACTGATCTCTTAGGAGATTAGGTGGAAAGTTCTGGATCTTATTGTCGCACATATTTATCACGGTGAGTCTCTGGGCATGGTAGAACATGGATTCGGGCAGCATGCCAAGCTCATTTTTGTTCAGGTCCAGAATATTCAAATTGCGCAGCTTCCAAAAGGTTCGATGGTCAATGTCCTCCAGTTGATTGTTCTGAATGCGCAATACCAAGAGACTGTCCAGATCCTGGAACAAATCAAAGGGAAGGAAGTCCAGCACATTGTGGGATATATCCAGCTCCCTGAGCACTGTGAGTCCACGAAAGGTGTCCTTGTGAAGGGTGGACAGGATGTTCCGAGAGAGATCTCTACGGGAGTGCTCATTAAATATAACTTATGAAAGGCATTATCCAACTCACATGTTCACCATGTTCATGGGTATCACCTGAGTGACTGGCACCGATTTGAGATTCGTGTTCCAGCAGGTGAAGCTCTTGGTGTCCGGATTGCAGCGACACACTCCCGAGGTGCAGTGGTTCCACTCGATTTGGCTGCCAGTGGCCAGGTGCCAGATGGGCTGCTCCACGGATCGCAGGCGACTCTCGATCTGCCGTACTCGCTTCACCAGATCGAAGTTGGCCAAATGGGACATGGCATCTACCTCGCCACTATTGCCACTGTCTCCATTACCATGGCCATTCGACTTCTGTTTGGAAGGCTTCTGCACATTTGAGGTGGTCTGCGTTCCATTGGGCATCGAGTTGATGAGCATCAGGAGCTGCGACACAATCCCCAGCGATTCGCAGGCATTAAGACTGCAGTTTCTGGTGTCCGAGGAGATCAGGGGTAGCAGGTACTTCTGCCGGAACTCATCCAGACTCTGGGCGGGCAGATCCTTGGCCTGCGGAGGTCCTGTGATCACTTCGGCCGGATCCATTAGCAGGATAATGCTGAACAGTTGAAAGAATCCCAGCGCCATGGCTCCAGTGGTCTCCAGTGGCGTTCTGAGTCGTCTCCTCCGATCTGCAGCCCCATTTATAGTCCACTTCGTTCCGATTCAATTCGTAATTCAAATAATTTGCAAAATTTGCATTTGCTGCAATTAAGTAGCTTAAGTAGCTTAAGTAGCTCACAGCGCCTCATGAGTGCAGCGCATCTTGTGGTCGTCGAAGCCTCCCCGAATAGAACATCTCGGCTCTCCGGAATCCAGAGTCCGGCTAGAAACCGAAAGTCTATGCTAGCACGCTTAACGATCCGCCGGGTGTCCACATGCTAAGTCCGCTTTATCGAGAGAACCGGATAGCTCGGTTGGGGAACCCCCCAGAACGCTGACTCGTACGAATCGCCATTCGTAATTGGACACTCAAGTGTTCTTTTGTAGATGTGCACACTATCTGAAATCGTGTGTAGTTTTTTTTTGTGAAATAATAAAAAATAAAAACCCAGACTGTTTTCATTTTCGTGCCGTTTATAATGCTATAAACTGTTCTCAGTTTAATATTAAATATTTCGGTCAACTCTTTTGCTGTTTTTCCTTTCGAAAAATGAAAATAAACTAAATCAAGTTATTGTCAGTGCGTTTTCCAGGCATTGCAACATGACTTGATCCGAAGAACCGGTTTTTTAACAATTAACCACCTTCTTTTATATATTTCATGTTAAAGTTGTGTTATAATTTTTATTTTGCAAACAATTAGTTGAGATATTGTACCTAGATGAGTCAATGTCCATATACTCCGGCAACAAAAGGAGGCTGATTTTCGTCCTTAGGAGTTTGTGCGCCTCTGGCTCGCTCATATTTTGGCTGCAGTTTAAATGTTTTCCAATCCGCCACATTGCCAGCGTGTGAAAAGTACTGCCGAGGAAAGTCTTTCACGGTTTCCCCCTATGTCACGATAGCCAGCGTTGCCACTCACAAAAATTTGTACCCTTAAAGCGAAGGGCGCCATCTAGCGAGATTTATTGCCTCACCCAGTTACGAATCAACCGTTCCCAGTGCTGCGACGACTTCGAAAAACACACCCTTCCCACTTAAGTCCTTTTTCTCAATTCATCCCAAAATAATCGTTTATTTTAATTTCCCCGCACACATTTAACGCGTATAAGACTAAAAGCTCTTCTTGGACTGGCACCGCTCAAAAGCCAATTCGATGGGCTTTACGCAGAGCTTAAAGGCCACATCTTTGTACTTGGTCAGAAGAGTGTTCGGATAGGGCAAGGCCCTTAAGTCCTCCACGTAGTTCATATGCATCCGCTCCAGTTCACCAGGTAGCCGAATGGGATTGGACTCCTCCGCCGGCTGGCTATTCTGGATGCGGCCACAAAAGTCATCCAGTCGCTCCATGAAGTTGGGCAAAAAGAAGGCGGGATCGAGGGCGATGAATACCTGACCAAGATTCGCCGGTTGGCTCTGATCCAAGGGGATGTGGGTGGCATATTGGGCGCCGGAAAGCACTCCGCACAGAAGGTCGATCACGGCGGACATGCAGTAGCCTTTGTGGCCTCCAGCTGGAAAGAGTAGTGATGACCTAAGCGCCAAGTTGGGAAAACACGTGGAAATGCCCCCCTTATTGGCCGCCCAACCATGTGGAATGTACTCATCGTTGATGCAAGCCCATTCCAGGGCTCCAATATCCCTCATGCTGGCCGCCATATCCAGCACAAAGTGGTAATCCTTACCCTTCACGCAGAAGGCCAAGCAATTTGGTCCAATGGTGGCCGACTTAGAGTTGGGAGCCATCATCGTTGGCGCCGAATTGGACATCACCATTCCGGCTAATCCCTGGACAGCAGCACGAAAGGCATACCAGCTGGCCATCCCGAAGTGATGTGATTCCCTGGCAACCACGAAACCGATTCCTGCGCTCTGAGCCTTCTTCACCGCCAGGTCCATGCAAAAGTTCCCGACCAGGACGCCCAAGGCAGAGTTGCCGTTCACATGGGCAGTGGCCACCGTCTCGCTTATCACTGTGGGTTCGGCATCTACTTTAGCGTATCCCCGCTGCAGATCACTGAGGTACACATCCAGGCGATTGAGTCCGTGGCCGAAATTGCCTCTGTAGTCGGCCACCACCAGGAACTCACTGATGCAGCGCACCTTGGAAGGAGAAACCCCAACCCGCATCAGGCAGTCCTGGATGAAGCGACGCGCCTCGTCCACCAGCACCAAGGACGTCTCGCCACGCTGCTGCGGAAAGGGGACAGGCATGTGGTAGCCACGAAAGCAGCTTCCCAGCCATTGAGCTGGCCGGAGGAGCGGCAACATCCTGAGCAGCTGGATTTCATCCAATAGAAAGATCTGGCTGGGGTTGCTATGAGTATATATATTTTAGGAAGCTTCAAGGGGAACAGTTTCAAAACGTATTTCACGAAGGTATTTTAAAAACAATTTCAGATTTTAAAAAGAAATAAAGTTAAAAATAAACAAGTTTAAATAAGATTATCGTTAAACGTTAAGAATCAAAACTGATGATTTTCAACCTAACAATTTTTTTCATTGAGTAATATTTTTTTATAAAATAGGCATTCATTATTAATCTCTTCGTATTTCATAATCAAATCATTATTTGTAGGTAAACAAATGGTTTTTAAAAAATTTCTTTGATAACTTTTACACTTACAGTATTGAATTGATAATGGTTTATGGGATTATTGGGAGTAATATTTAGTATAGAGTATATAGCTTGTGCTGAGCACTTAGTTTAAGGCTGTTGATGTCAACACGGCCACGCCTCGCTCGTAGAAACTGTGCGAATCCTGTCCAGCAGCCACGGCCAAGTCCACGGTGAAGAGAAGTTCGGTGCGCGTGGAGTTCAAGTAGACCGGCAATGTCAACTTGCTGATGCGCGGCTCCGAGGAGATCCTAGTAAGAAATCAAGCATTAATAAGGAAAGACGAAGTAAACCCAAATCTATACTCACTTCAACCACTTGAGGATGGTCACAGGTAGATCCATCATGATGGTGGAAGCCAGCAGCAGCTCGTTGTTCTTGCACTGGGCGCCCTGCAGTTTGAGTCCAGTGACTCCGAAGCAACAGTCCTTCTGATCGGTCTTTAGCCCGGTATCGGTGATGGTCACCTCCAGAGCGAGCTCCTCCAGCGACCAACTGTTCGCCTGGGCCACACACTGCCTGGTGGCGGTGATGTAGGCCTCCGGATTGAGCAGACCGCCCAGCCAGACGGGGAAGCCTTGCAGCTCTTTGGCGCCTGCCTGCGAAACCAGTTGCGATACCTTCTGTAGCTGCTGCACTCGGTTGCTGAAGTCCGTGATCCACTGGATCACTGTGCAACCCGCAGGAACGGTGTATCGCTTCCAGCCCTTGGGGATAATACCGCGCACCAATTCCGACAGCATGGAACGGTGGTGGTTGGTCTGCTTCTTTTCGCCCTGGCAAATTAGGACCACGTCCTGGAGGTCCAGGATCACCGTTTGCAGCAGTCGGGAGCCACTGGTCACCTCACGCTCGAAGTATCGGTACAGCGGATCCTTGATGTTCTCCACCGTACGTTTAAGCACCTGCAGGTTCTTCGGGAGCAGCTCCAACCAGGCGGTAGCCGAGTTGTGGAGGGTCTTCATCCACGATGGACGTCCGTCCTCGCCGCGACCCGCTGCAGATTGTTCCGACTGATCCTCCACGCTGTAGGCCAACTCATCGTCGTCCTCCAGCTGCTGCATCTTGAGCAACTTGCTGACCAAATCGGTTCCCCGGGTGGTAAGCAGCACCTTCTCCGCATTATTGGGCAATCCGAGCCACGAAGGAGTCTGGCGATCAGTCAAGTTCTCAATCCACTTCAAGAAGTGATCGCGACGAGTGCCATCAGGCATGGTGATGTGGCGAAGTCCTCCAGAGGCGCCATCCACGTTCGCCACCAGGGCAAAGTCAGCCTCGAAACTGCGTGCGGTGAAGAGCTTCTTCAGGAAGGAAGTCAATAAGCGCTGATCGAAATCGTTGTCGATCTTGCCTCCGTAAATGGATTGCGACAGCAAGGTGACCAAAGCATCCCATGGCACCTTCTCCGGCGGCAGATTGGTGCGACCCATGGCCGTGGTGTCGATCCAGGTGTCCAGGGTATCGCAGGCCACGCGCAGATCCGATTCGTTGAATTCGTACTTCTTGGCCCAGCCGAGGGGCACATATCGGAGTCGCTCCTGGACGATTGCATGGAACCAGGCCAGCAGGAAGTAAAGGCGAGCCCGTTCACTTGGGGTCTTCATCATGCGCGCTGCCGGCACTGTAGAGAAAGTACGCAGCAGATTAGCCCTGATGCCTGGCGGTGGCTCAAACACAAAGATGCGACCAGCACGCAGTAGGTTAACCGGAACCTTTGGATTGATCTCCATGGTGAGGAAGAGACGGAATCCGGAATGGGGCTGCAGGGAGTGCATCTTCTTCTCCAACTGCACGAGCCATTGTGGAGCCAAGTGGACGTTCTTGAGCAGCACCCAGCGCCCGGTCTTGCAGGCCATGTTTATAGCCCTCTCCGCTTGGTTGAATCCTTCAGCGGAACCGATGGCAATGCTGGATATCTGCTTGTTCTGCTCCGCAGCCAAATCATCAACTCGTCCGGAGGCATCGAAACCGGGCACCGAGCAGAGAAGAGCTGGAGTATTGCAGTTCAACTGCTTGTCCACCACGGATGCAAAGTCCAGTTCCTGCTCGGCATTGGGCATAAAGTCCTCGCCGAGCACAGAGTTAACCACATTGTGAGCGGCAGCGATGACGCGATCCGGCCGGAAGGCTTGGATCAGCAGCAACTGATGCACGGAGCTGGCAATTGGACTGAGAGCCTTGGACTCGTCCCACAGCTGCGGAACAACCTGCTCCGGCGAGCTCTGCTGCAGCCAGGCACCCAGTTCGGGTATGGAGCGCACCTTCTCCAGAAGTTTACGGAAGATGGGCAGACGAGTGGCCAGACGATTGACGCTCTCAATCTGCTCGCCGGAAAGTCCTTCGACGGGAGTGGGATTGGCCAGCAGACCCTCTCGACTGCGCAAGAAGAAGTTGAACTCAGCATCCAGATTGGACTCCGAGGTGCCCTTCAAATGGATCTTGCACATAAGCAGGGCAAAGGTCAAGCGATCATTGTGGATCATTCCCCGGGCCACACGCTCATAGCACACCTGGAATAGATCCCTGGTCACTATGCCCAGACGCTCCGAGTGATCGGTTCTGCCCTCCAGCTTGGTGTTATTGTACAGCACCGTGGAGAAGATGTCGAGGAACATCTTCAACGAGTACTGGTAGAGGAAGTGCACCTGGTTCAGGCTGTCCATAGTGAAATAAATGTTGCTGCAGGCCACAGACAGTGGGAGATACTGCTGCGACACTGTTTCAATCTCGGCTATGACCTTGTCCGTTTCGTCCACCTTCTGGTTGATGTCGTAGGCCTCCTTCTTAAGGGTCTCCAGCGTGGTGATCACCGAATCGTCGTCCAGAATCTTGCCCTTGGCATCGTTGAGTGCCTGCAGAAGGCTCTTCTCCAACTGGCGCAAACGCAGCCGGAATTCGCCCTGCAGTTTCAGCAAATCGGAGCGCTTCTCATCGATATCCGGACGTTCAGCCTTGAGCACCTGGTTGAGGCACTGCGACTGGAGAGAACTACGCGTGACCGTAAAGTTCACGAACGTGACCCTGGAGCAAATGTCCGGCGGGAATTCCACAGTGGGATCGCGCGTAGACAAGAAGATAACGAAGGACGGCGACAGATCAATGTCCTGGTCGCCGAGGGTGATCAGCACACGTCCGCCAGTGCGACGCAGCTCGCGGTTCAGCACCGGGTTGAGAATGGGATCGTAGTTCTCCACATCCTGCACTAGCAGGGGATTTCCGAATCGCAGTGCGGACTCCAGATTCTTGCGGAACGAATCATCCAAGAACGAGGTCTTTGTAATCTTCTTTCCAGCGTATTCGTTAAGCAGGAAAGTGGTGGCCTGGCCCGAGGGATCGATGATCAGCGGATAGCGGTTGAAACGCTTCAACATGATCGCGTTCTCCGTGCACAAGTCATCCGTGGGCAGGGCATTCGCTTGCCAGCGGAGTCGCTCATCGGGATTGGAAAGATATTCTGTGCGAGCGATATCCGCGCGGTACTGAATGCTGGCCGCCTGCAGATGCTGTGACCAGGTGGTGAACAAGTTCAACCGATAATGCTGATCGAAGTAACCACCATAGGCGATGAAGGCAGCTGAGAGCAGCACATCGCCCACAATGGTAGACATCTGGGACTTGAAAGTCTCGCTAGTGGACTCCCAGCGCTCGCGTTCAATGTTCAAACTCTTTAGCAGAGCAATGGAGCGATCTACCTTGGCCTGGACATTCTCCAGATCGGTCTTGATGGCCTGAGCCTGGGAAATGAGTTGGGCGTACTCCTCCTTGTAGGCAGCAATGCTGCGTTCTAGCTGCTCCACCAAGTCCTTGGTTTCCTTGGCACTGGCCAGATTAACATCGGCCTGCTCCTCCAGGGAGCGCAATTCTTCGCGAAGTGGCTCCACACGCTTCAACATATCAGCGTACTCGATCTGAATTTAAATAAAGAAATGTTTTAGGAAATATCCGTGATCGATTTCCAATCTATCTCACCTGAGCAATAGCCCATTTCACCATAGGACCACAAGCCATACTGGCGCGGTTCACCTTCTCGAAGTTATAGTCCGGATTGCTTAGATACTTGGACTTCATCTTCTCGCGCACATCATCGCTGTTTTAATACAATTATTATATTAGACAACAATCAAACCCCCAGTTTAGTAAGTTAATTGAATGAATTAAGCAAGCAAAGCAGTCGGATAACTATGAAACAGCGATAAATTTGACCAAAACCAAATAGAAATAAACAAAAGTTAGAGCCAATAACCAAAATTAGTTTAAAAATCCAGTTAATTCATTAGAAATATTTACAAACGCCTTTTGGTTTGCTCGCTTGAACAATTCAAACCAAAACTACAAGAGGTAATAACAAATTCAACTCAAATGAAAACCAATTTCTACACTCAAAACTATAGCATAACATCAAAAACATCAACAAGAACAAAAATTAAAGTCGAGAACAAAAAATGGGTGTTGGTAAAAATTTGATTCATGCTTACGTTATGTTCTCGGTACCGAAGTTAGATACAATTGAATTTATGAAATTTTCGCGCATGATCACGGCGCGAATAGATTTCCAATCGGTCGCATTTTCGCCCAGCAGCAGACAGATCGATTCGAGAGCCAATTTGACCACCGACGGCGGATTAGCCATGGTTCGCACCTCAACGAGCTGTTGCTTGCGGATCGACTTGACCGCTGCACATCGTCGATTAGT